GATCAAAGAGATTACTCACCTGAAAGGCAAGGACAACAGTTACACTCTGTTAACTATCAGCAGCACCTAAGCCATGTCTCACCAGGGTTTACACCACCCTCTGCTGGACGTTTTCGGTACTACCCTCCAGATCCAAATTCCTCTAGGGACTCTAATGAGCTTGCCAAATATTTAATAAGAAGTCAGTTGTTAACCTCTGAACTCACCAAGTTTGATGACATCTTTCATCAACGCCATTGACACTCTAGAGCTTAGGGCGTCTGAACAAATCGACCTCCTTGTAAAATCACTTGGCCCAGAATCTACCAAGCATGCACCTCGCATCAAAGCTGTAAACATAACAAACCCAGCTGTGGCATTAGAGCTAATCTGGGAGAGGCTAGAAGAAACCTATGGGTCGCCAGAAGCCATTGAAAGTGCTCTTTTCACCAAACTTGATCAATTTCCTAAAATAGGGCCCAGAGATAATCAAAAACTAAGAGAGCTGAGCGATCTGTTGCAGGAGATAAATGCAGCAAAACAAGAAGGGTACTTGCATGGACTCTCCTATCTCGATACAGCGCGAGGTGTTGCTGCCATTGTGGATAAGCTGCCGTATGGGATTCAAGACAAGTGGATGATGGAAGGCTCACACTACAAACAGCGGCACAGGGTGACCTTCCCTCCATTCACGTTCTTCTTACAGTTCATACAGACACAAGCAAAGGCACGCAACGATCCAAGCTTCAATCTGTTGTCAACCTGCAACTCTGGAGTTAAAAGGGACAAGCTTGGAGATGGTTACAGCAATAACCGCAGGTCAGTTTCAGTGCATAAAACCAACGTTATAGCCATATCTGAGGAAGGACCAGACAAATGTTGTCCTGTGTACAACAAACCTCACGCCTTACAACAGTGCAGAAGTTTCAGAGAAAAGCCAATTCAGGAACGAAAGGCAATATTAAAGCAACACAACATCTGTTTCAAGTGCTGCGCTTCCAACAAACACGTAGCTCGCGACTGTCAAGCAGAAATCAAATGCTCTGAATGTAACAGTGATAAGCACCCAACAGCTCTGCATTCAGATGTTCCTCGCCTTCCCAAAGCTCTTCAGCCCCCTGCAAGTCATGGCGGGGAGAACCAAGAATTAAAAGAGACTGCAGTTGTTTCAAGTTGCACCGAGGTATGTGGGGAAGGATTTTCTGGGAAATCTTGCTCAAAAATATGCCTTGTTAACGTTTACCCTGCCAACGATCCTAGTAAACGCCAGAGAATGTATGTCATGCTAGATGACCAGAGTAACATTTCACTAGCACGCTCTGAATTTTTTGACATGTTCAAGGTTAATGGTAAGGCAGAGCCATACACCCTCCAGACATGCAGTGGCATAGGTCTCACGTCTGGCAGAAGAGCCTCTGGGTATATGATAGAGGCAATTGATAGCTCCCTCGCTATTCAGCTGCCCATGTTAATTGAATGCAACATGATTCCTAACAAAAGAGAGGAAATTCCCACTCCCTCCGTGGCTTACGCACACAGTCACCTCAAAGGTATAGCACACAAAATACCACCCTTTGACAGTGGTGCAGACATTTTGCTGTTGCTTGGAAGAGACATTTTGAGAGTTCACAAAGTGCGCAGTCAGATCAATGGTCCGCACAATGCACCATACGCACAGAGACTGGACTTAGGCTGGGTGATAATAGGAGATGTGTGCTTAGGCAATACTCATAAGCCTTCCCAAGTCTCTACCTTTAAGACTCACGTTCTATCGGATGGAAGGCCAACTCATTTTTCCCCGTGCGAAAGCCACTTTACTGTCAAGCCAGACACCAGTCTCTTAAATCGACACTTAGTACTTGGTGGTTCAAACATAAAGGACAGAACACAAAACAGAACTATAGGAAACAATGTTTTCTGCCAGACCAAGAACGACAATAAGCTTGCACCCTCCATGGAAGATCTGCAGTTCCTGAATATCATGGACAATGAGTGTTTCCAGGATGAGTCACAAAGCTGGGTGGCTCCACTGCCATTTCGCCAGCCCAGAGCATTGCTGCCTAACAATCACCGCTACGCACTCAGCCGCCTCAAGTCACTTGAACGAACTCTAGACAAAAACCCAAAAATGAAAGTTCACCTGATAGACTTTATGCAGAAAATGTTGGACAATGCCCCAATGCTTGCACCCCCAGTACAAGAGAACAAAGAGCGTTGGTATCTGCCCTATTTCGGAGTGTACCATCCTCAAAAGCCGTCACAAATCCGAGTGGTATTTGACTCCAGCGCGCAGTTTGAAGGTATGTCGCTCAACACAGTGCTGTTATCAGGACCTAATCTGAACAACAGTCTATTAGGTGTGCTAGTGAGGTTCAGAAAACATCCAGTCGCAGTAACCGCAGATATCCAGCAGATGTTCTATTGCTTCCTGGTGCGCGAGGACCATTCGCACCTCAAGACCGAGCCAAGGATCTCCAAAATCTGGATCTGTTCAAGGATGAACTCCCAGATCAGCGCAGTCTTGGAGTAAAGTGGAATATAATGGAGGACTATTTCACTTTTCACATTCCTCATGCTGAAAAGCCATACACACGAAGAAGAGTCCTTTCAACTGTGAACAGTGTGTTTGACCTGCTTGGGTTTTTGGCCCCAGTCACCGTTCGAGGACGTCTGCTTCTAAGAGAGTTGTCGCTACAGACAACAGAGTGGGACTCACCTCTCCCAGAGGATCTGAAAGGCAGATGGATAGAATGGCAACAGTCCCTCCAATGCCTCAGCAAAGTCAACGTTCCACGCACTTACACTAAGATGTCACTGTTACAGGCTAAATGTGTAGAACTTTGTGTCTTTTCAGATGCGTCCATGAAGGCAATATGTGCAGTTTCATACCTCAAGGTCACCACTGGGGATGGCAAGACAGAGGTTGGGTTTGCCCTAGGTAAGGCACGACTCGCTCCACAGCCAGAGCTCACTGTACCTAGGCTCGAACTCTGCGCCGCAGTAATGGCGGTTGAAATGGCAGAGGTCATATGTGAAGAGATTGATCACCCCATAGACAAAACTAGTTTCTATACAGACAGCAAGGTGGTTCTTGGTTATATTCACAACCAATCCAGACGTTTTTATGTCTATGTAAACAATCGTGTGTGTCGTATTAGAGAGTCAACTACTCCAGAGCAATGGCATTTCGTTACGACTGACCAGAATCCTGCTGACCACGGCTCACGATCAGTTCCAGCCGCTGAGTTAGATCACACGACATGGTTCACAGGTCCAGCGTTTCTCCAGTGCCCTTCATACATCCATCTAGAGCAGACTGATTACAAACTGCTGGACCCAGACAATGACGCAGAGGTGCGCCCAGAGGTAAAGACACTTTGCACTAACATAACAAAGGTAGTTTTGGGCTCAGGACGTTGGGAGCGTTTCTCCACATGGCGCTCATTTCGGAAAACCATGTCAAACTTGATTCACATCGCACAATGCTTTTCACAATCAAACTGTTAAGCCAAAGGATGGCACATGTGTAAAACGGCCATCACCCCAGAACTGTTAGATCAAGCAGAGACAATGATCATTAAAAATGTGCAGTTTGAAACATATGCAGACAAGATAAAGCGGATCTCTGAAAAACAGAACCTCCCAAAAAACAGCCCACTGGCAAAACTAAACCCTGTGATTGGAAGTGACAATCTGCTGAGAGTTGGTGGTCGCATTAATCGCACGGGGCTGGAAGTAAAAGACACTAACCCTATTATCTTGCCAGGCAGTCACGACATCACTACCCTCCTTGTGCGCCACCACCATGAGAAAGTAAGCCATCAAGGCAGGCATTTTACAGAGGGCGCTGTCCGAGAAAGTGGCTTGTGGATTGTAGGAGGAAAAGGCTGTATTTGCAGAGTCATAAGTAAATGTGTGACATGTAAGAAGCTGAGAGGGAAGTTTGAGGAGCAATTAATGAGTGATTTGCCCGTAGATCGCCTCCAAGTTGAGCCCCCCTTTTCTTACGTGGGTATGGACATGTTTGGCCCATGGGAAGTAACTACAAGGCGCACAAGAGGGGGACAAGCAAACAGGAAGCGGTGGGCAATATTATTCACGTGCCTGTGAACAAAGGCTGTCCACATTGAAGTAGTGGAGGAGATGAGCTCTTCAAGTTTCATTAATGCACTGAGGCATTTCTTCGCCCTCCGAGGACCCGGAAAACAACTGCGCTCGGACTGCGGCACTAATTTCATTGGTGCTCACAAAGAGATGGCCACAAATGCACCAGAGAAGGACAAAGTGCAACACTTTCTGCAGGACCAGAAGTGTTCCTGGGTTTTCAATCCTCCCCATTCTTCCCACATGGAGGGAGTATGGGAACGGATGATTGGTTTAGCACGGCGAATACTTGATGACATGCTGCTGCAAACTGGTCGTGTTCAACTCACTCATGAGATCTTGATCACATTTCTTGCGGAAGTCACAGCTATACTGAATGCACGACCGTTGTTGCTAGTATCATCAGACCCAGAACATCCTCACATTCTATCACCGGCGATGCTGCTGACACAAAAGACTGGAGTTGTACCCACCATCTGTGATGATGTAGGACCCAAAGAAATGCTCAGAAGCCATTGGAAGCGGGTTCAGTTCCTTGCAGACACTTTCTGGAGCAGATGGCGCAAGGAATATTTGCACAGCCTCCAAATTCGTCAAAAGTGGCACCACAAGAACATTGACATTAAACGGGGAGAATTCGTTCTCCTCAAGGACAAACAAACAAGAAGAAATGAGTGGCCAATGGGCGTAATCAAAAAGACAGTTGCGAACGAAGATGGAATTATCAGAAAGGCCGAAGTTAGAGTTGTTTCCAAGAGGAATGTTAAGACTTATTATAGACCCATTTCTGAAATGGTTTTTCTGTTATCTGAGTGATGTTTAGATATCTGTTGTGGTATCCCTAAGATACCAGGCGGGGAGTGTTCTGACTATTGTTAAATTTGTACATGTTTGATTTGTTTGGTTAGTGCACTGGCCCTTTAAGAGAAAGGCATGGTCCGTGTGCAGACGGGGGAAGTGTAAGAAAGAATCAGACAATCGACTGAATGTGATCTATGCTGTGATTTATGCTGTGAAAGGCTGATAAAAAGGCATTCCCTGTGAGTATGCATTATTGTTTGGCACTTTTATGTTGATTAATAGCAGTTAATTAGATGCTGTTTACGCGTGCTAATTTATGGTTCGTAGACAGTTGTTTGGTGTTAGCATTAGCACTTGGTCACGCAGCTCCTCAAGTAATTATTTAATTTGTCACTCATATATACTGTATTTTGTTGTTACAGTTTCACACCTGCCATATAAAGCAAAGTCTAAACCCACTCTGGCGTCAGTGACTTTTGTGTGGAGGTGTTTAACTCCTGGATAGTAGAAAGTGGTTCTACGAGGCCAGTACATTCTTTTTGTGTTTACACTCACTCACACGCAAGTAAAAAACAGCAATAAATAAATAAAATCACATGGATTACGCATTCCTGATATCCATCTCTGCATATCAGCATTAAAAGTTGCAGATTTGTGGTAATCTTGCATTCATTTAAGAATTCATCAAACTTGCAGTGGATGTTGGTCATCATTATTTAGCCCTATTAAGTGAATCCAGCAAATTTTGAGCAGTTAATATGATTTTTTTTTTTTTTTTTTTTTGCCTGTCCCATTTGGTTCTTTAGCCGTCAGAATTGTTGTCTGAAGACCAACAAGGATACCCAATGGATTTATTTTGCCAAATGGATCATCGTGGCATTGCCGTATTGGTCCATTTGATCGACCTTTGTTTTTATTATTTATTTTATTTTATTTTCAGTTGTTACAGACGGGACAGACATGAGTGAGGGATAGGAAAGGGAGAAAGAAAAGGAAGGAAAAGAAAAACAGAAGGGGAGAGGGACAGTGAGAAAGGGAAAAAAAGGAAAAAAAATCCTGGATCACCTGTTAGAGAAGAAGAAAGAAAAAAACAAAGCAACATACTAAACACAACACCATCGCATTAATCTAGCTAAGTGTAAACAGCAGTAAATACTAAATATTCAATGTTGTTGTGCAGCACGCAGGACAGACAGCGCACAATGTGCTTTGAAGTAGCAGCCAAGAAAGG